TTTTTTTTTTTTTTTTTTTTTTTTTTTTTTTTTTTTTTTTTTTTTTTTTTAAATGCTAATGCACATCATCACTGCTTCATTTCAGAAAGTATTAGCAGGTACACCATGGCATCTACAGATCAACTGTCATCAAGCGTAGTTTTGACACCACCCATCAGTAGGTGGTATGCCAATCAGTTCCCAATGTTGGCATAGAAAGCTCTACACTTAAAAGTCCTGAATATAGTTTTTATTTAATATTTAAGAGGCCTGAAGAAGTAAAAATGATCCCCTAGAAAAGGGAGACAAAACCAATGGCAACCATTACCGGTCATTGAAGAAGTCCCTCCACATATAACAGTATTTTCCAGTAGTTGCCGGTGGTTATCAGATGAAACGGTTGAAATAGTCCGAACAAGCTGCTCGACAATTCCATGTGAGTCCAAACCCAAAATTTGTGGTTGGAATAATGCCTCACCAACAGTATATCTCTCTTTCCCAATTGTTATTACCTAAAATCAATGACCAAACATTAAACAGAGGGAAAATTTTTAGATATTATAGGTTGAATATGATACAATGCCACTACAAGTGTACACACACTTTACACTCATGGAAGAAGGAAGCATTCACGTATGGAACCCATTGGTTGCATTTTTCTTTATGCAGTTTTTTTTTGTGTTTTCTTATTGTGAGGAGTCCTCCACCTTCATTTCTATTTTTAGTTAGTTATTTTCCTGTTTTAGGAGGATGATCCTTCATCATTGAGTCATGATTCTATCGTGGTTGTAAGGATTCCACTTTCATTTCTATTTTTAGTTATTTCCTTTGTTTTAGGAGATCCTCCATGGTTGAGTCATGGTTTCATTGATGTAGCAATGGTTATTATACAAGTTGATGTTTTTAGGTACCTCTTCATTGATGTTTATGACTATTTATACAAGTTGTACATTGCTACATCAATGGAACCATGACTCATTCATGGAGGATCATCCTCCTAAAACAAAGGAAATAACTAAAAATAGAAATGAAGGTGGAGGACTCCACCTTACAATATGGAAACTGAAAAGAAATTGCATAAAGAAAAATTCAACCAATGGATTTCTTACTTCTTACGAGAATGCTTCTTTCTACCATGAGTGTAACGTGGGTACGTTTGTAGTGGCATGGTATCAGAATATTTCATCCAGTTGAGGAAAATTTGCAATGCAACTAATAGAGGAAACTAGAAGTCTAGAAAGCAATTCCAAAGACATGAGTATAAACTACATGTCAGATAAATGTTTGGAGTATTCAGTGGGGTTTCAAACCAGACAACAGGTGGGCAAGATCATGAAAGCAACAGGTTTAAGTAGTTGATTAAGTGTTTCAGAATCATGTAAGTACGCATTTCAAATGTCTGGGTATTATAAAATCCAAACATTCTTCATCTATATTTTTTTTAAAAAAAAGGCAATAAGGACCCAACTTCCTTCTCTTTAAGGTCAAAGGTTCAAATCAGCACTCCTACATTCTTTTCATTAAAAAAAGGCCAAGCACTTCTAAAGCTTCCACCAAAGAAGTATTCATTCGCCTTCAAGCAAGGCATGAGTAGTGACAGTAAAAGGTAATGAGGCAAAATATAAATTTAGTTAGGTTAATGTGTTCATGTCCAACACCAAATCAAACGCTTGTTTGACACGTATTAGGTATATGTTAGCACAATAAAATGTGTTGACACAAGTTGTACAAAATGAATATAAGTCCAACATTAGTTGAGTATCAAACACTTGTTCAATATACTAAATATAAACAATATATTTTGAGAATGAAATATGTCAAACTCGTTTTTTAAGCATATAAATGCATAAACTAATTAAATTTGAATTTCCTTCAAATGATTAGATTTTAAAAAAAATGTGTATATGTTCTTGCTGTATTTGTGTTCTATTTTTTAAAAAATGTCATGTCATTGTGTTCCTATCGTGTCACATCTATGTCTTGTTTCCATATTTGTGCTTCTTAGGTAGCAATCAAAGTGATTAAAGCAACAGTAGGAGCGAAAGGCAAGACAATGACTCAAAATGCATGTGGCATGTCCCGATCTTCTATAAATTTTTGCTAGAGTCACTTGCCTTCATGTTCCTAATTCTTATTCAAGCAGTAAGCCATATTAATTATTAGGTCTACCTTATTAGAAATCACATGGTACTTGTGAGTTTCAATTTGATGACTTGAGATTGGAACCATGCCAAGTAAATCTGAGATATTCAGGTTAAAATGGGCTTAACGTTATAATTACCATAATCCATAAATGTAACTTTTAAGGCCTAGATTAAAACAGAAATATCACTGTTCGCATAGATTAGTCTGAGCAACTCTCTAGGTATTCCACTATCATGGCCTGATAAGCCAAGGGCTACTAAGAAATTTTACTTCATTTGTCTTCACAAGAAGTTGTGAATTGCAACACAGTTCAGCATACACACGCCCAATAAGCCTAAGCCTGCATAGAATTTTTTAAAGAGTTTTCTTTATAGAATGTTGGGACTTTCAACACAGCTCAGCATGCACATATTCATATTCAGTTGTATGTAACATACTGTCCCCCTCTTTTGCTTTCCAATAGTCATAAAAGGCCACGATTCATCAGTCATGAAAATTCTAGACCAACTCCAACTTCCAACTCTCTTGGATACCAACTTTCCTACCCCAACTAAAATCAGCTCAACAACCAGTTACTGTAAGCACATGCATAAACACATACTTGGGTCAAGTAAAAAGCAATAGTTAAGAAAGAACTAAATTCAAAAGAAAACCTGCCCATCTGGAAGGGTGTGTGCCTCAAGCTGGCATGAACCACCAATTTTTGAATAAGCCAACTCATCTTCAGCACAACAAGCATACAATTCTTTTATTTTCTCAACATCAGCTGTGTGGATATTCGCCATTGGGTGAGATTTTCCAAGTTCTTGTGCAAGTAACCTTGTCAAGTCGATACCTCCGATTTCAAGTCTTCGTGATGCAATGCGATGAACAGCTCCTTCAATTATTGGTGCAATATCTGGTCATGAAGTCAAAAGGCAATATAGACAAGAATTATGTTTCTTGCATTGAGAGCTTGAAATGGTAATAGAAAAATTTAAGAGATGATAATTTAAAACCATGTAGAAGAATCTTGATAAGTGATAGTTAACAATTCGTAAGGGTGCCTTTTACAAAATTTTGGGTCTTGCTGAGGAAATAATAAGGAACAAAACAAGCCCAAGAAGATGAGCCAGTACAGTGGCTATATTAACCGGGAACTGCTGCAAGGCTAAAGATTTAATCACAAGGCCACTTCATACCCTGTTCATTGTTATACTCGTGGTAAAATGACCACTGCCTTTCAATTTTTTAATTTGAACATTCTCACAGGTCATACCCTGTTTAAATAACATGAGCAATTAGAGTAACAGGTACATCATTGAATTTCTAGTTGCATGGATACAAAACAACTGAACCAATTCAAACTGGGTAATTTTCATTAGTTATAATTTAAAAAATAATAATGCATGATCTCTATCTTTATAATCTCTATCCAAGAAACAAATTAATACCTTGCTTTATTCATCATAGAAATTAAATTTTGAACATCCATAGCAAAGGTCTGTTGAGATAGGGTTTCTGTACCTATTTTCCCATGACCAATATCAACAGTGCATCCTGATATACGCCCTACTGCATAAAGTGACAATACAGCTTGTTCAGATGCATAAAACCCTGAGATGTTGAATGTCTCAAACATCAATTGCACCAACTGTTCTCTGATAGCCTGGAAAACAGAATGCCTCTCATTTTCCTTGAAGAGAAGAAGACATATGAATTGTATGCTTACATGTATATATTTCTTTGTACGGGATAACCCCAGGGACCAGCAAGTATTTTACTATCAATTGATGCCCTTTCTTCACCAACCACACAAAGATGGTTCAAAGGTGGATAAGTACTCTATGAGACCTCCGATTGTTCACACATATCAAAGGAGGTAAGGGATGCAGCAATTAGTTGTGGTGGGACCATTTGGGATCATGCTTTTGTGGTATGGTCCAGTTGTGAAAGGGTTTTGTAGAGGTTTTGGGGGTTGTGCTTTTGGGTAGATTTTTGAGTATGAAGAGAGGTTGCCAACTTTCTCTCTAATAGCTGGAAGGTATGGATGAAGATTCTATTTTTTTCCCTTGTTCATATACCAATACAATCTGTCGAAAATAACACTCTTTCTATTGAAGAATTATCAATAGTACAGGGTTGGTTTCCATTACTCCTAGTTTTTGTGTGATTACAGGTTGTTTGAAACTAGGAACCTAACATACTCTTGCTAAATGACGCTTCCTAGTAGTAGTAATTGGATCTGCCAGAACCATAAGAATTTTAAAATGGAGTTACAGTTCATTATCTTCAAAGTTTTGAGAAGAGTTGCACTTGAAGAATATAGTACAATGGAAGTTGTAAGCTATGTACAAGGGGGAGCTATTGTCTATTGTTGGCCTATATGGTAGATCAATCATAGGCCTAGAAAAATGATGGTTTATCTCACACGAGAACAGAAGCCATTTTGAGGATATGAATAGATAATGAATGCACAACAAAATCATGATAGAACTATAAAGGGTACCCTCTCACATCGGACATTACCTTTAGAAAAATAGCTTATTCAAATCACTAGAAAATGTAAAAATAAACAATAAATAAGAAAAATAATGCAACAACTAGGAATAAGACACCATACAACAATTTTCAGTGCATGGGACCGGAAGAAAGCAGAAGCCATCGATTCCCGGTGAAATGAGTATCATTCATTTGTTCATGAAGAATAAACAAGGAGATTAACTGAGACTGACCTTGGGGGTAGAAAGTGGATCCGTAAACAATATCTGTCCTTCATTGCCAATTTCCCATCCAAGTCCAGTATATAAAACATGGTGCAATAAATCCTCCATAGCATCCCAATCCTTAATAAACCCCCGAACAACTGGATCAACAGTCACGTCCTCAAATTGTGAAGTATTATTTACCGATTCATCCTCAGGCATACGTTTCATGTGGGTAGGAATTATCTGAGTCATGGGGAGATAAATTTAAGACAATTAAGAAAACAATCCCCAACTAAAAACCATTTTCCAAGTTGAGCAAATCATTTCCACACAATGGCTAATAGTGTGAAATTCTATGTTCAAAACGACCTTCCCTCACCATTCCGCTAGTCTCTTAGAGAAAACCCCCTTTAAAAGACGTTTCTCGGGGAAATAACCTGTTAATTTGATCGAAAACCAGCAGGAAACATAACATTTCTCGAGAATCGTCTACAACTGAAGTGGGGAACTTGCATAACTATTCACAGCGGTGGAATACAATCCCAAGCAGATAGAAAGAAAAGAAGGAAAAAAAAAGTAGTCGAAGAAAAATACCATAGAGGGAGCCTGATCCGGCATGGCAGGTCCGGCTTTCAGAAGCTTGGAACCAGGGTCGACCACGGCGGCTTCCATTTCCTTCTTCTTCTCTTCTTCAGATGGAAATCAGAGGAATTCAGGGATTCAATCTTTTCCTGCAAATCGCGACGAGAAAGCTTGGAGATGCTGCCTAGCTTCTGCAGGAAATCGGCATTTCAATTCTTCAGTCAGTTCACCGTCGAAAGTTTCTTCGGCTTCGATCATTTTTTCTTGATAGTTTGAGTTTTATTTTCCTTTTTACTTTTTTTTTCAAAAAATCTTAAATTTAATTTAATTTTAAATAATAATTATAGTTCATAAAAAAATTGTAAAATTAATAGAAATTATTTATTTATTTTTTTTTTTTTGTAAAATTCAACAAATGGTAAATAATTTTTTTTATTTACTAAAAGTAAAAGATTAAAAAATAGACTTAATAAAATAAAATTTAAATTACGAATTAAAATATTATTTTCACTTTAAAATTATCATTTAGTAAAATATCAATATATTCAAAATGTAAAATTATTAGAACATCAGTAAGATCTAAAGTTCGAATCTCTACTTATGCAGTATGATAATTTCGATATACTTTTATAAAAAAAAAAAAATAAAAAAAAAATATCAATGAAGTTGAAATTTTAGAAAATTTAAAGAAAAAGACCAAAATAAACTAAGATTATCTGTTGCCTAAAAAAGATTTATATACAAATACATATCCACATTCACCATAAGAACTATATCAGAAATTAGTCATAAGACTCGAGATGGCTGTATTATTGTTGCAGTAATCCTGCAAATCTTCGCCATCAGTAACCAGCGGCTCGCTCATAATGGTATAGTAGTTCATATCAACCGATATGGGGCAACTTCTTGTGGCAGCATTCTCCTGGACCTCTTCCTCAACCAAAATGAGGTCATATTGCTCGCCAACAGAAGTACCCTCATCACTTTCCTTGGGACGAGATGCTCCTCCATAGCTTGATTCCGCCATGTCACCGAGAAGCTCTTTGAGGCTATCGTTGGAAGTCGAATCTCCAATGGTGGTGAAGCTTACATCCAGGATTGGGATCTCAAAATTCACAACAGATGTGTCACGGGAAAATCCGAGAACATCGTGGACAATGTCTATGTTACGAACTTCTTTTGTAACCTCCATGGGATCAGCATCAACAATGGCATCGACATTGACATCAATACTATCAGGTTCGTTTTCATTAATGTTACTCCTCTCTGGAATGTAATCTTCACCTGTTTCATTAATAACTTGCACATATTCAAGTTCCTCCATTTGGTTCATGCTTTGTTTAGCTGAAGCAACTCCAACATCGCCATCGTTCCTCTGATGCTTACATTCTGGATTGTTGGGAACGTCGTCGCCATCTCCCTCGTCAATTTTGGAAGTATGGTCATGCCTGGAAGGGCTCGAGTTCCCGCCATTGGCTAAAGAAGAATTTGGTGTGCATTGTGTGTTATCAGTTTCTTGGGAACAGCTTAAAGGATGTAATTCACTTTCAGACATATCACCTGATAAAGATGATGATAATGCGAACTGAGCTAGAGCAGATGCCAATACATCATCAATGGATGGCTTCGGTTTACTCTTTGGCGAATCGACTACAACTTCCTGGACTGGATTCCCTTGGCCATCATCATTTCCATTTGAAAACTCGGAAGCAGTTACCATAACACGCTCCTGATCATCATCCTCACCGTTTGAAAACTCAGGAGCAGTTACCACAAGACTAGGACACAACAGTGAAGAACACTCTGAATTGGGCATATTAAGTGCAACAGGTGATGCACCTGATTCAAGTTCCCTTTGATCCGGTTCAATTGGTCCACAACTGGGATGATCGTTCCCACTGTTATAGAACGAGTTAGAAACCGATTCGTTAGCAGAAAAGCTCGGAGCAGACATTCTGTAGCAAGATAGCCATTCTGAACCATGCGACTCCTTAGTTAAAACTTCAAGTTGCTGCTCAATCTGCTTCAGCCTGCCTTCAATGCTGTTGATGGGCCTTAGCATATTTTCTTCAAACCTCAAAAAGCAATTCTCTATTCGGTCCATTCGACAAACAAGCTGCCCCAAAATGCTTTCAATACAACTAAGCGGTTCATCACGCACCCTCTCTTTAACAGGAACTTGTAGAGGCACCTCGGGCTTACGTACAGGTCTGTCGGACTCATTTTCTTCTTGCAATATCACTTCATCATCGACAGTTGCACAAGATTTTCCTTCCTTCTGAAGTTCAGCTACACTATTGATTGGATGGGAAGCTTTTGGCTCAACCTTGGGCAATGCAAGTATTCCCTCTGCATTAGAAGTGCGCCCGTCGCTGTTCTTACTACTGCCAGTAGTTTTAGATAACTGCAGAAGGGTTGGGACAAGCATGGACATCAAAGAACTATGAGAATTTTGACCTGAGTTCTCCACTGGACCCTTTTCTTCTGAATCAACGGGATTGGCAAACACATAGACTTCATCAACATATACAGTACTTTTATTCTGAAGTGAAAGAAGACGGATTGTAAGAGACGTGCAAGGTTGTGCATCCGTTATTTCTGCTGTAGCCTCATAAAAGTCCTGGGGGAAGAAAATTCATCCATCAGGAAAATATTAGTAAAAACAGAATTATTCAGATGACATGATTAGACGCCCGATCACCATTCAGACATTCAAAATTTTCGGTCGCTATAAAGATGCAGTGTGAATCTTCCTTCCATAGAATATTGCTTCCATCAAGGCAAAAGTTTAGATATTCTAACTTTTTCCAACTACTTTGCAATTTAAACCTTCCCTTCCTAAGCAGAAATCATCCAAGAACACAATTAGCTCACTTCCTTTTCAGTAGTTAGTTAGTCACTGTTCAGGACTAAAGTCAATCCACATCAATGAGAAAATAGATGGATTTCAACTAAAAAGAAACGTTCTCAAAATATCACCAAGCACGGACATTTCAAGTCCAATGGTAGCTTCCCTTCCAAGATTTAGGCGACATTCCAAATCTAGGAGCTAATGGCACATTCTTTAATAAACACTTTGGTCATGTACACTTTCTTTTAGCGAGAAACAGCTTTTCATTGATAGATGATGTGAGATCCCACATTAGTTGGGGAGGAGGATAAAACATTCTTTACAAGGGTGTGAAAACATCTCTCTAGTAGACGCGTTCTAAAAACCTTGAAGGGAAGTCGGACTGTTACAAATGGTATCAGAGCTAAACACCGGGCGGTGTGCCAGCTAGGACGATAAACCCCAAAGGGGAATGGATATGGAGCAGTGTACCAGCGAGGACACTGGGCCACGAAGGAGGGTGGATTGTGAGATCCCACATCGGTTGGAGAGGAGAATGAAACATTCTTTACAAGGGTGTGGAAACCTCTCCCTAACAAACACATTTTAAAAACCTCGGGGGAAAATCCGAAAGGAAAGCCCAAAGAGGACAATATCTTTTACAAAGGTGTGAAAACCTCTCCCTAGCAGATACATTTTAAAAACTTTGAGGTAAAATCCGAAAGGAAAGCCCAAAGAGGACAATATTTGCTAGTAGTAGGCTTGGATCGTTACAGATGACAAGATAAAACTTTTTCCAGTCTACTGGCTATCCTCGAATAAAATAATTCAATTCAACCACCATGAAATAGTTATTAATCAGGGGGGAAATATTATTACAAGGCAACTATTGTCACTTGAGACTAATCCAAGATTGGAAACCTTAAGTAGAGAACACCATAGTATCATGAGAATCCAAATAAACAGGAAAGGATAGAATGAATTTTTTTCAATAAAATACTGGTGAGATCAATGTGTTTTTTTTTAATAGGAAGCAGATTTCATGATAAAAAGGAAGGTAAAATCCCAGACTACAAAGGGAATTGCAATAAAGATTTCCAATGTAACATATCTGCTTAATCCTCACCAAGTCCGCACCAAACTTGGATGTAGAAGAATTGTTTTTATGATTAACGGCCAGGCCATCAAGCGCTTTAACATCAACCCAATCATCTTCATTTGTGTTCGAATTACTGCCACGTTGTGAATTCGATTCAGCCACATCTCCATTAGACCCATTTTTAAGAGCAGATACTCCTTCAATATCAGTAGTGTGTAGCACTTCTTCATCTCTCAATGCAGCACCACAACGAACAGTACATAAATATTCATTTTCATTCTCAGAATTGGTAGCGTAATATATTTCATAGACTCGAGCGGTGCTTCTAACATAAACCTGCTGGACCTCGTGCTTTTCCGCAAAATGAACTGCAAACCATGATCTTTAGTTACTACTGTTAACCTTTCAAGAAGCATCACTGAAAGTCTGAAATGCTTAACGCAATGTAGCCAACTCAACTTTTACTTAAAAGATGGGGAAAAAACAAACTGGAAAAGGACTAACAATGCAATAACATATCCCCGTTAAATATTCCATGTTTAAAGTTGTTTGAGTTGAACAGTGACTCGAGAAACAAGAAACTGTTAAATTCACCCAACCTCCAGTAGCCAGAAATTGCAGTAACGTACAGTCACTATTCCCGTCTTTGTTAACCAAATCAAATCAGAGAGCTAAATCCTGACTTATAGTCACCGATTCTCTACTTAATCTTACAGACCTAAGATTATCCATCGATCGTCATTTTCTAGCTAAAAATCAGAAGATGAAACAACAAACGCATAAATGAATCAGAAAACCTACAATTTCTTGATGCAAAATCCATTGTATCATTCTGAGAGCCTATGTTTGGGAAAATTTCATCTGATCTCCACAACACTTCAACAAAATATCAAACGAAACAATGAGAAGAAAACGAGTAGTTCAGAACTCACGAGTGATCTCGCAAGGACCAGACTCGAGTGAAGGACGGCGCAGAACAAGAGACAACTTCGGGCCGGAATCGAGCGTCTCCTCCTCGTTAATCGGATAATAGAAGGATTCATAAGCAACTGTACTGTCCAAACAGCCACCAGCGACCGCCCAATTCGTGACGGAGCTCCATGAAGGACTGCAACCAACGTTGACGTCGTTCTGTGAATCCATGGCGGCAGGTTTCCCGATTGTGTTGAACGGAGAATCTCAGATAGCTAGCAGAAAGATAGTGAGGAATTCAGATTTGAGTTCGTAATTCCAAAGCAAACTCATTTGTGAAATTTATTAATACTCTGACTAATTAAATTATGCTTAATTAATTTAATGACTTAAATAAAAAAAATAAAAAAATAATAAAAAAAAGGAAGATAATAAAATGGGCCTTTTGAAGGTGGAGAATTGGGATGGCCCAATACGGCACAGATTTTCAGTAACGATATTTTGTGGCGGAAAAAAAACGAACAAAACTGGCTCTCTTTCTTTCTCTCTCTCTCTTACAAAGCTTATCTTACTGAGAGAGCTCCACTTCCATGGCGACCTTAAGCTTCAACCCCACCAGAATAAGAACCCCAGGGGGCCTTCATCTTTGCAAACCGAAACCTAGATCGTTACCATTTCCACAGTCGATTAAAACCGCGAAAAGATTCTCAGCCGATTTCCGTATCAATCAACAACTACTACATCGTTTTCGATCGAATTCTGTATCGGAAAGCTCGATTTCGGTGCCGGAAGAGGTGGAGGTGGCGGTGGATGAGGATGAGGATGAGGATGAGGCTGAGGCTGAGGCTGAGGCTGAGGCTGAGGATGATCCGACTTTGGAGTTGGCCTATTTGGATTCGGAGACAGATCCTGAGAGTATTACGGAGTGGGAGCTGGATTTCTGCTCGAGACCTATTTTGGATATCAGAGGGAAGAAGGTCTGGGAGCTTGTAGCGTGTGATAATTCGCTCTCGCTTCAGTACACGAAGTATTTTCCTAACAATGTTATTAATAGCATTACTCTGAGAGATGCGATTTCTTCGATTACTGAAGAGTTGGGGGTGCCATTACCAGAGAAAATTCGTTTCTTCAGGTACATGTTCTGATTGATTAAGCTCTTTTGGATGAATCTTGTGTTTATGCATTTGAACTTCAAAACGTGTCTGAATTTGTGGCAAAAATAAAAACCTACGATTGAGTAGCAATTTATTAGAGAATGGTGTCTCTGTCTTCATATGATAGAAATGTCGATGGGATTATAGGTCACAGATGCAGACAATTATTACAAAAGCATGCACCGAGCTTGGCGTAAAGCCCATTCCAAGTAAAAGGGTTGGTAATATGAATTTATAGGTGTTATATTCAATTCAGTTTCTTGGTGAAGTAGATTGGATTTAGATTATGGATTAAACTCTCTGAGCTCAAGATTTTCCATTGCTCTATCAGTGTCTTTCCCTGCTTTTATGGCTGGAAGAACGATACGAGACCGTCTACACGCGTCATCCAGGTTTTCAGAAGGGGTCTAAGCCCCTCCTTGCATTAGATAATCCATTTCCAATGGAACTCCCAGACAATCTTTTCGGGGAGAGGTGGGCATTTGTTCAATTGCCCTTTTCAGGTAAACCAATAGCTTTTCTTCTTTATTTTGTGTTGACTCTAAACATGGCTGAAGAGTTGCTGCTTTACTAAAGGATGTTGCCTATTGTTCTTATAGTTTCTCCAATAATAATTTGATCCTCCATTGATTCTCAGCTGTTCAAGAGGAGGTCTCAAACTTGAATGCAAGTTTTATGTTTGGCTCCAGTCTTGATCTGGATTTACTGGGGATCGAAATTGATGACAATTCAATGATCCCAGGGTTGTCTGTTGCATCTTCACGAGCTCAACCATTGGCAGGTATACCACCACTTTAAAACCAGTTGAGTTTTGGTGATTCGGAACATATATAAACAAATGATACACAACAAACTCGTTAATCATTCTAATTTCAATTTTCCGAGTCGATTAGATTTTTCTTCCCGAAATTTTTATACACCTATCATTGTAGTATAAAATATTTCTTTACAATCATATCGTCCATCATGAAGATTTTGTAATGTAAGAAATTGAACTCTCTGTTTCATACATGTTCCCCAAACAATACTCGCAGTATGATGACTATAAACAATCTGCCATTTGATCTCTTTTTGTATCATTCCACAGCTTGGATGAATGGAATGGAAGTATATTCAGTTGAAGCCGATACCTCTCGTGCTTGTTTGATTCTATCCGTTGGGATCTCGACTCGATATGTCTATGCTACTTATAAAAAAAATCCAGTGACAACTGCTGAGGCTGAAGCTTGGGAAGCAGCAAAAAAGGCTTGTGGAGGCTTGCATTTTCTTGCCATACAAGACGACTTGGATTCAGAGGACTGTGTTGGATTCTGGCTCCTACTAGACTTGCCACCGCCGCCAGTATAATCAAGTAGTTTCAAAATTTTCTTTTTCGTTTTAAGAAGGTAGTAAATTTTGTAACTTGATTATTTGTTGGTTGTACAAACAAATGCATAATATAGGATAATGTTCACTTCTGGGAGATGGGATTGTTGAGCAAAGTTTTTTCAAGAGCACTGAAACTCCAAAATGGAATGCATTTTAGACCTGCAATCAAAGAAAAGATTGTAGCTAGAACGGTTGGACGTTGAATGTGAGATCTCACATCGGTTGTAGAAGAGAACGAACCATTCTTTATTCTTTATGAGAGTGTAAAAACTTCTCCCTAGCAGACGTGTTACTTTGAGAAGAAACTCGTTTATTCTTTATAAGGGTGTTTGAGGAAAAGCCTAAAGAAGACAATATCTGCTCGGTGGAGTGGGCTTGAACCGGGGTTAAAAGATTTAGAAGCAGACATTCAACAACCACAACAAAAAATAAAAATAAATTAAAAAAAATCTCATACTTTCATTGAACAAGAGTTCTAGCCAATACAACCCAAATGGCCATTTAGGCCGACTGTCCATTCCCTATTCTATGACAATGGTATTATCCTAGAAGAATTAAAACTTTATAAATTTATCAAAATGGCAGAGAGCTTAATAGAACTACAAGAGAAGTGAGCTACCCAGTTCTTGTTCTTCAAGGGATTACAGGATCTGGTTGAGTTAGATAGAGACCAGCTTTCCACACGAAGCAACCAGAAAGCCACTGTTTGCTTCCTCCTCCAAATCCTCCAAAGAATCATATCTCCATATACACTGCATATACAATGGAGAAGAAAATCCCACGTGATATTAGTTACACACTGCCTCTTCAGCCACCTTCATGATTTCGATCTCTTTTGCTTAAGAGGAACGAGCCGAATTCCTTGCTTCCCAAGTTCCAACGTTTTTACTCTGTTGTCGTCGAGGGTGACCTCGACTGATAATGTCGACGTGCCATCAATCATGTCTGAAACCACTCCTTTCTGCCTGAACATCATAACAAATACAGAAATTGGAGATTTGGAGTTCATATTGTACAAAAATCAAAGAGAAAATGCTCTTTAACAACGTTATGTTCATAGAATCATCCTAAGAAAATGACTTCTTGATCATTTAAAATGGTAATATCATTAGCCAATGCCAACAGATCCCTTTAGATAGCTAATTGGTTTTCGAAGTGTATAAACTAATACCCTTTCTGGGTTTATTAGATAGAGGAAAAGAACACTTACCATGACTTGTCTGATGGGTGTTGGACTTCAACCCTCTTTCCAATTGCATCTTTACCCAATTTTTTGAGAATCCAATTAGCATCCATGATCTCATCCAACAAATTATCTTGACGAGACCGTGCCATGTCTTCGACTTCATTGAAGTATATTTTCTCCATTAAGGGCGATGGTCTTTTCCTTTTCGACCGCTGGCCTTTGACAAGACTTCTTTCTTCCTCGTGAGAAGAAGCTTGATTTTCGAGGGTCGGTTTCTTAAATTTGAACTTTAACAAAGGTTTTGAGTCTCTGGGCAAAGACTGTGGTAGAGGTGTCTGAGAACTATCATCATTTCCATCATTGCATATATGGGATCCACTTTCATGTTGCTTTCCTGAAGCTACCTTCTCTTCTTTTACCGTGGAAACGTCGCTGAGAGAACCAACTGTAGGTGTGCTTCCTTCCACGTTTCTTTTACGAGAAAATACCCGAGGGCCATCTGGAGTACCAACTTCAGATCCACTGGCAGTATTTGTCCTGCCAAATGCAGAATTCGTGTCGGAAGATCCAAATCTAACTTTCCCATAGCTAGGAAGGCTCTTCTCCATTTCAACCGCCTTCGGTCCTGTTGATTGGCTCGAGTTATCGACTTTGTCTCCTGCACGTAGAAGAGAACTACAAATTAAATCCTACAATACAATTTCGATCCAACATTTCATCATATTGAAGGTAAATACACCACTGTGAGCTTATCAAGTCTTTCCAGAAACCATACCATTTGAGGTAACCAAATCTTGCTCTCTTTGGCAGCTCGAAGCATCCGACTTTGGGGAATTAGCTACGTTAATTTTCCGGGCACCTAGATTTATTACTAGCTTCTTTCCTTTCGTTGTCTTCGACTTACTGGCGTGTTTTCCTGCATCTTCTCCAGTTTCCAAACCAGGAGTCTTGTTGGCCTTGATTTGAACAACTTTTGAAGTCCTTTCTTCGTCACTTACCATCACCTCGTCCACAAACTTGTGTTTCAACACCCCTGGCTGATTAATAGAGCACATTCCTTCATGGTGGCCAAGACTACCAGCAACAGGAGATGAATATGTGCCTTTATTATTTTGGGGTTGCAAACCACCATTTTTGTCGTTACCTTCGCCAAATCCGTATTGTTGAACATCGTTATGCCCTTCTAGTTCAGACTGATCGGCAACGGGAGTCTGAGAAACTTTTTCTTTTGAATACTTCTTATTCGACGATTTTTTCCCATAATCTTTACTCTTCTTGGGCACTTTGTTGTCCCCTAACCCTTTCAGAGACAGCTTTATTGAACGTCCAAACTCGTTCTTAATAACAGAAGGACCATTTTCTTCGTCATCGGAATAAGGTGAAATCGAAAATATTTCTTCTTGAATGGGTAATCCAGCAGCAGCCCTCAAATTAACAATTAGATCACGATCGGCATCATCCTTTCTTCTCCAAATCTCTTGAACAGCATCATCCAGATTCTTAACCTACAAAATAAAGTTTTCGGTCTCAAGAATAATATAAATCTAAACCATCTATCTCCTGTAAGCGTCTACAATAGGGGAAACGGATTCGCGGTGTGAAGAAAACCTGATAACATTCTCCACGACATGCGGTGCATTTGTACTGGAGATTCCCATCCATTTGAAACTGTAAATATTTTTCATCACTGTAAAAATCAAAAGAACTAAACTTAGCAAGTGTAAAGAGAAGTGTAGATCGATATCCCATTTTTTTCCTAGCAACGATAACAGAAAAAGATTAGAAAATGGAGAACAGCGATTTCATCACTAACGCGTGCACTAAAAACACATGGAAACAGGAACTTGGTAAAGTTAGCTCAGTAACATGCTGTAATAATTTCGTAAGGAAACGACAGACGATGTTACTGCTCGTCTACAGCTAAAGACAAATCGAATGGTAACATCAAGGAACAATTCTAGACTACCGACCCATGACACCGTCTATATGACTATCGCGGTGGTGTCAAAGGAAAGCAACAGCGGTGCGAGCCTAATAAGCTTACCACAGCTACCACCACTATGAACATTTAGGCTTTCGATTATTTACTTTCAAGTTTGAGTGGTTATTACTTGTAAGAAACACTGATGTCAGACGTGGAACTCGGTTAACAGATAGAAGAATGGACTCCCAATAGCAAATATAGATCATTTAATGCCAAAAAGTCGGAAAAGTGGTGTCTGATAATTAGCGGCAAACAATGAGCATGGACAGTAAAAGGAATAAAAACAAAAAGAGCAAAAGTTAATGAAGAATAAGTATCCAGTCTGTGCAAAAGTAAGGAACAAAGGCTGGGAAGAACCTGATACTATCACATTGGCAATGTACCCAGCGCTGGCAAGTGTCACAGCAAACCATCGGAGTTGATTCCGAGTCTCTATAAACCTAAAATGAAGAACACGCAAGTTTACAGAGAGTAATCGGAGTCGACCAAGAAGGCGACAGCCTATCAGTGGTCAATACATTTAACCACAGAAACTGAACTTTCCAAACTTCGACTTAAGATCCTAAAATATCGTGTTTGAAAATTATATTACCTTCAAACACACAGGGCAATAGTTCCCCTTTACAAATAATCTGCCACATGCATCACAAAATGTATATCCCAGAAACCACCTGCATTTCAACAGTTCAACTTATGAAAACTCAAAAGAAACAGGTTCCTTCCTGATGCCGATGGAAATAAACTCATAGCGATGCATATGCACTTTACTATGAAGAATATTACTAATTAACTGCCTTCTATATATAATCGTAGGGGTCTAGACCACCTTATGCAAACTTTGAATGTTGTTAATTAGTCGACATGACTTAATTAAAAGACAAATTTTAAAAAAAGCATCATTGGTAATTGAGATTGATAAACTGAACGGAAAAGCTTAATTGTCTATCACAGCAGGTTAGCCGGAAAACTTAAGAGATTCTCCTTGAGGGATTACTCGAGTTTAGTTGAATTATTAACTGCGAAGTGCATATAAGAGAATAACAGACCGGACAAAAGTAGTTCATTTACACCACATAAAACTGCGTTTTTTATTTTAAATAAAAATTAAGAGTAACAGACAATGAGGTGAACGTATGTAGAACCTTTCGATAAGAAAAAACTTAGAAACCAACACAATCGAGATGTAAATGTTGAAACAAAAAAAATGAAATATCAGCAAGACCATCCAAGAGAAGAAAGTGCATACCTCACACTTTGGCCATTTCCTGGAACATTAGACCCACAGCTATGGCACCTCGTATGCTTTGGACACAAATAAGGTCCAGAACTAACATTCTACAATATTCAATCATGTGCATCAGAAATAAGCAGGTTACTTGATTGAGATATACAACTCAAGAACGGGAAAGCCGCCCCTACCTTGTGAGGAGGATGCTGACAGTAACAATGGTACGCACCGTCGCACCTTTTGCAGAACATAAATTTATTAGGATCACCAGTTCTTCTGCATACCTAAGAAAATATTCATAAAGCAAAGTTTATTTAAATCAAATGTGGAGCAATATTATGCATCTCGATTAGATGTCTCGAGTTAAATGCCAAAATTTTAAACAGTTGAAATTCATTCAGTATCGAGGAGAATGCTTAAGAAATATTCTATCATTTTGAAGTAACTAGAAGATTACTCTCCCAGACATTTGTCTTACTATAACATTCACTAATTCATTTAATGGACTATTATCTGCATTCAATCATGATCATGTGAATTATCGGATTCAAACATGAAATGAAGAAAATCCGTTCGATCGATGATTTCAGATGCACCAAGTATTGTGAAATGTTATAGCTTGAAGTACCACCCCTTCGATTTTGTAATTTAAACCCAATTAAAATGCTCGCAACTGGAAGTTAAAGAGGCTATCAGGCTACTAAATAAGAATGTGCCACTTTGCATAGACATATCTTTAATAGATTAGTGAAACCGACAAAGGGAAAAAAATACAGGAATGTTGCATGTAGCTTGTTACCTCGCATGCTCTGCAGGAAGGGCAGGTCCATGAACTCCAATGAAATAGATCTGCAGACAAACCCATAACAAATTTTTAAAAAATTCGGGTCTCAAAACGGTCCTATGACGAAGTAGCCTTACCCCTATGTTGAGCCCAGGATTTCAAGCAGCTGCGATGGTATTTTTTGCCACAACTTTTGCACGAAAGCATCTTCCTTGCTCTCTCACTCGATTCATTTTCACCAAAAAAACATATCCTACACATTACATTGATGTTGGATTGCCCCTGCTCTTCCTCCACCAGATTACCGGAGGCATCCTGTTTGAAGGGAGAAAAACATGATTACGACCGCAGCTTACAGGGCACTTCAAAAACCTATCCTTATAATGAGTGTTCGGAGAAATTTATGAAAAAACGCAAAAGGTACCCCTCCATAGTAAAGGTCATTCACTGATCTAGTAAAACCAAAGTAAATGTATACTCTCCATCATCAGCTGCGTTACTCCTTACGTACATTTTTTCGTATTTTCACTAAATTTCTCACTAAAGCCAAATACAAATCAGTGGATAAAACAAGGAGAGAACACCTCATATGTCCAAAAACATGTCCAAGTATCCCAAAGGTTAAGAAAAAAAGTGTTATTAATGAACTTCCCCCCATAAAAGTTCCAATAGTAGTGCCTCTAATAACCTAAAATGCTTGAGCAGCCTGTTCTTATTTCCAGTAAAAAGGGGCATATTGCCCCACATACTAGCTTATCAGCTAAATTGAGTATCAGAACAACAAAGAACAAAAAAAAAATGCACACTCAACGATAATTGTCACAACAAAAACATACTCAACTAGCCAAAATCTTCAACATCATAAAGAAAACGATACAAACTACAAATCCTCACCACTAAATTCCCAGACTCGAACCGTCTGGCGTAGTCCTCAGCAGCAATCATAGCAGCAGCCGCCTTACGCTGAAGCGCAATACGCTTCGTTTGAGCCGACATCGCCGCCGTCATCTCATCAACACCATCAGCTCCACCAAACGCCTCACCGACAACCCCAACAGGCTGCAGCACTGGTGGTGGAGGCGGCGCAACCTTCGGAACCCACACTTGAACCGTCGTTCCCTTTCCATCTTTATTAACCCTAATTCCCCAAGGATCCTTGAGAAAATCCTCCACCTTATGAACCCCATCAAGAAACTCATTCTTAGCCCTACCATTCTGCAACTCCGGAGCAAATCCAAGCGGACAGAAGCAAATTCTTCGACTAAACAACGCAAATACACCAAACCCATGTGAGGTTTCAAAGCGAAAAACAAAAACGAGATGGGTAGTTGAGAGAAAGGAAGGGAAAACAGCAACGGAAGAGAGAACAACCGAATAAAAACCAATAAAAACCCAATAAAACCCAAAAGAAAGCGAGAGAAAAAGAGAAGTAAAATGAGGATTAGAAGAAAGAAAAAAAATTAGAGCAAAAGAAGGGGAAGTGTGTATACCATGTAATTGGACAAGCTACGTGAAATGCCATATTTGCGAGAGATTTAGAGATTTTGAATTTTTTGATTGTGCGTTCGGGATCTCTCTTTCTCTCTCCCTCTAAAATTTTAATCCCATCCAAAATATATATATAAAAATTGAAAATTTTATAAAAAAAATTAGGACACTGATGAGAGAGTTTTTGAGAGGCGAAGATGAAGGGCGGGGCAAGTAAAATTTTCGTCCTGTTTGAAAGATCCCATTTTTAATTTTGTCAAACTGCCCTACTTTTTCAATTAAATTAGGTCAATTGTTCTTCCTTTGACCAAAATACCCCTCGCCTCAACTCGAATTTTCAAAAGCCACCCACCTTCCCTTCTGCCTCTATATGGACATTTTCAAGCATTTCACTTTAACAATATGACTTCAACCTATGAAATATATTTTTAAAATATTAGTTGAATTACAATTTTAATTTGTATGATTTAATTTTTATTAAACTATAATATTATTTATAATAATTTATCAAATTATCAACCTAACTTTTAAAATTATAAAAATTAAATTTTAATTTTTTTCGAATAATAGAGTCTAATTTTATAATTTATCTTCTTTTATTCGAAGAATTATTTTATTTTATAATTTTTATAACGTTTAATTTGTACGATTGAAAATATAATTTAAATCCATATAAAGTATTTTTATTCGATTTTATCATTTTTGTAATGTTAAATTTGTATTTTAAATCCATGTAAAGTATTGTTATTTGAATTAGGGTATTTTTCTAAAATCAATTAATTCTTTTTTTAAATACTATTTGATTTACTAAATGTTGTGTTTTTTTTTAATTCTATTAAAGCAATAGTATTTTTAATATTTGTTTTTTTTTCTTTTGTATTTAAACAAAATAAATATATATATGTGTATGTATATTTATATGTATATGTGTGGTTGTTATTATTATTATTATTATTATTATTTAGTTGTAATTTAACTAAGTGAGACGGGTGAGACGGGTGATCATCTAAGATAAGTAGCAACTAAATATGATCGAAATCGAGTATCACTAGATTCTCTGTGAAGTTGACGAAACTATGTCATCATCTCAGTATGGAATGTGGTTAGAAGTGACCTAACACATATTATAAGTTAGTTCCAGCTCGATTGAGTGAGACCAAAAGTCACAAGTACACGCAATATAACTTAAATGAGATTATGTGTTTACTAGTCCACACAAGTTGAAAACAACACTAATGTCTAGTGGTATGTACAAGTCGAGAAAAAAAATTTCCCACCGGTAAGCTGTTAAGTGAAGAGAATGTTGTGAGACTAACTCTTGTTGGAATAGGTGGGTCTCGAACGATGGATTTTTGGTTTACGCATTATTGATTCTCGGTACTAAACTCTTTCTTACTCTAGCAACCTCTGTCCTTCTCTAGAGTTTCTAAACGGGAAGAATCGTGGGAGACAGATGGGAATAACTGAGCCACTTCTACAAAATGGCAACTAGGTTCGTGACGTGTTACATCACGTTTAATCTAAAAAGACAAAAAAAATTGTGTTAGATATCAATCAACCTTGACGTTATCAACTATGCTAAATTTGAGACCAAACTCAACCTCCTCTCATCTTAGGTACAATGACACCAAAATCACTTCAACCCTACCAACTTAGACAATACGACTAATTACACTCCGACTGTCAAAACGGCGTCGTATCCAGAAACCGTTAAGTTTGAGGAAACAGAGCGCGTATAAATACCCCAAGTCGCCATCTTCACAAAGCTATTTTCAGAGGAAGTTCAGTTTCAGGAAGAAGAAAAAACGATGAATGTACCCGATCGTTACGAGCGCTTCGTCGTCCCCGAGGGCGCCAAGAAGTAAATTCTTGAAACCTTAACCTTTTTCATAATCAGTTTCATTCGGCGATCGGTTTTGCTTTCTTTATATGCACACCACCACCATCTCTGTAGTGATTTCCCGTACGGGCGTCCATTTTGTTGAACATTACAGGGTTTCATACGAGAGAGACACGAAGATCATGAACGCGGCGACTTTCATCGTGGAGAGAGAGGATCATACTATCGGAAACATCATCCGCATGTAAGGTTTTCCGTTAACTGGAAGTTCCGGCGATTTTGATTAGTTTCTTCGTTATTGTTTATTGACGTGGATGTATATTTATATATGTTTTTCTGGTGGAATAATCAGGCAACTTCACAGAGATGATAATGTGCTGTTTGCTGCCTACCAGCTTCCTCATCCTCTTAAGTACAGAATACTTGTTCGGGTTAGTACTTGGGTCAATTTTCCATTGTATATTAGTTGTTCTATTGCATGAATGGTTAATTGAACAGAATTTGTTTCTCCTTGGTAATGGTAGATTACACTCAGGAGGAGAACGACTGATTAAATTTTATAATGTAACTAGCGTTGATTTATTCTCATGATTCTCTGTTACATGCGCTAGTTTGGGACTGTTGAGTTGTTCTTGGGGGCTAACATCCCTGGGAAGGAGTAAATCAAGAATTTTACCACTAACTTCTTATGATGGAAACTTTAAGATCTTGAGGAGCCAGGGGTAATTACCCCTCCTTCTTCCATCACGTGGAGAGAAAACCTCAACTAGAAATCCTTGAGGATGGCAAAAACTTTGCAGTTAATGATTGTTTTTTAATACCGTAATTTTTCTATCTTTATATCGCCTGTTGTTGATTAAATTACAATTGGCCATTAAGTTCTTATTGGTGTTCTTTTATATCATTACGTTTCGATTCTTTCGATCTCATTGTTGGGCAGATACAGACGGCTAGCCAGTCCTCGCCGATGCAGGCATATAATCAGGCTATCAATGATTTGGATAAGGAGCTTGACGTTTTGAAATATGAGCTCGAGGTAATGATTTCGCTCCCCCCTTGACCATTAACTGCAATTTGGGTGACGTGAATATGTTTTTGTTCTTCATTATGACTGAATACAGTTCTCTGCTTACTCTGCACTAAGAGGCATTACGCCTATTTTATTTTGTTTCTGTTCATATATTTTGAATTACTGATTATCCTTGAAACTTGCATAAAAATTTGTGTGGTCTTGTTCAATGTTCATATTTAATGCAATCTAGATATTAGAACACTTATTTTAACCTCTATAACATATGGGATAAATGTAGTCTCTAATACAAGTTCATTTAAAATTGTTTTAAGTTTTTGTTAAATGCAGCCTAAGAACTTAACAGTAAAAGAAGCTTTAATGCAAAGTTTAGGTATACAAGTTATTACTCCAAATATTTAAAGGGAAAAAAAGATTATGACATTATTACCATTATTTTACATTTGTGAATTACTTGATGCAGGGTGCGTTTTCTAGGTTCTCGAGGTCCTATTAGTTTGCCTTAAAGAAAACCCAGGGAAAGATCTGTTATCTGACCATTTTAAGATTTCGATTCCTTGCATATGTGCTTCAACTCAAAAAATTCCAGTAGGAAATGGAATGCCAAAAATGAAATTTATAGCATTTTTTAGGTTCCCCTTTTGTTTTGTTAGTTTTCTCTACTGTGTTGGGGGAGCATAAGTGCTCCAGTATATTCTTCCATTTTCTTTCAATGAAAGCTTGAAATTTAGTCAGGAACAAAGAACAGCTGTTTTTATGTTAATTAAATTATTAATCGAATTTGAGCCTAAAGGAGTGGTCAAGGCGCAAATAGCAGGGAGAGTCCTAAGAAATATCATAATTTATGAAGTTAACATTCATAGCTCAAATACTCCATAAGTTGTTGAAATCCAAAAAGAATATGAAGTATGAGAACTTGCTTTATTTTTCAACTGGTTAGAGAACACTGTTTTACAGAACAAGTCAAATGGTCAGAATTCTATGTACTCCGTCAATATTTCTACACTTTTTTCTATAATTTCCAGCAGCTAGAGTTCTACAAATCACTGTATTCCAAGGCTACAATTAGCTTCTAAATGTCTATCACTACTAATCTCATCGGTTTCTTGACATCTACATAATAGAAAAATCATCATCAAGTCCATCTAGTTCTCCTTTTAGATTGTGTTGTTGGATGACTAATACCGAGGTCCTAACAGAGAATTCAGACCCCGAAAGAACATCCCCTATAGGACCAAGTTCTGGACATTGTTGCCAGTCATTCATCCCAAAAGTTAAAACCGTGTTCACCTTCCCACCTCGACCGACGATTATGAGTGCATATTGCCCTTCCAGTAATTTCAATGTAGAGTATGTCTCCGCAGAACTCGCAAGGTGCTTTTCGACATAAGCAACGTGCCCACCAGCCACGTGTCGTTCGTAAAAAGTAGCAAAACATTCATCGTCTAGTCTCATTTCCTCTTCCTGCTCAGCAACACTTATCCTGTAAGTCCCAGCTCTTCTTGCAGCATTCTCTGCAGCAGCATCCACCAAGAATCTAATCACAGAGAGTTTAACTCCAGGATGCCTTGCTACTCGAGCCGCATACGCTAAGGCTTCTCGGTCATCTTTACCGCTGATGAAGATGACTGCCACATTCTGAGATGCATACGATCTCGAAATTTTCTCTACTGTTCCAAGACCTCGATCCACTAGGATTCCCACAGAGCATGGGGCATTCCTGAGAACCTGCTCGAATGAAATGTGTCAGCCATTGATGAGAAGATTTGTAAGAAACGCAAAATTCTCAACAGTTAATCTATAATAACCTTCACTTTCCTAGCATCAAGCATCCTATAATCAACCAATTTCCTTGTAGTTGTATTTGTTACACTTGAAATGCACCAGTTGATGGCAGCATTGCCAGTAATAACTTATTACCTTGCGGTTGACGTAGCGAAAACCCACATTGCCCTCACTCAAAGACCCATCAGCACGCTGGCTCTTGTGAAATGGCAGTATGATAAGAGCTCCCATCAATTCCTCTGCCAAAATGCATATGTCCTGAGCCATAGAATTGAATGCTGAGAGAGCTAGCATTCTTCCAAGTGTAATTCCGTCTCCATTTTCGTCTACATAGCTCTGAACCACAGCAGTAATTTGGTCTCTCATTTGTCTCACTTCCGCGTGAGTTACAGTCAGGGTGCCCTCTCCCTCAACCTGCACTAACGTGGCTGCTATTTCATCTGTAAGTTCAATCATGTCTGTGAGATATACAACAACTCCAGGTTTAGCCATCCCCCGAGAAATCTCCATGATGTTAATGGCTGCTGTAGTGTTCTGAAGTCCATGTATACATAACAAGATCTTAAGCTCGCTTGATGGATCAAGCAATTGGAGCGCCATTCGATGCGTAGGTGTACGTTTCCTTGCCCTTTTGATTATATGTGCGACAACTTTTGGCGCATGCACGATTGTGAAGAAGATTACAATTACCATCCCAATGCTCGTAGAAGTCGTCGTCTTTCCAGCCTGCATTTGTTCATCATTTCAGCATAGTACTTAACAAGACGAAAGTTTCAAATGCCCCAATCAGGGTTTCCAATTTAGGGTTTCGTTTTTAATCCCGTACGTACAGTGCTATAAGTTCTCTTTCTTCAACCTTCAAGATCGAGCACTACTTTCCAGGGGAATATTAAGATATCGGAAAGAGAAGGTAGCTTTTCGAAACTGCCCTAGAACGTGAGCAAATAGCCACGATGGCACCTTGAAGTCAGTCGAACAAAAGATGGCCGGGAGCGAAAAGAGAGCCTATTGCACTGTACGTATGGAATTAAAACCAAAACCCTAATTTGGAAACCCTGGTTGGGGCATTTGAAAAAAACTGAGTCGCAGTCGATAATTTTTGGACAATTTTGTGAGGAACGTTGAAACTTGCATTAACAGAAAGTGACGAAGCCTTGCAGAAGGGTACTTACGGTTTTCGCAGCAATAGCCAAGTATATGTGAAAATGGCCCTTCATGGTTAACAGCAGCCCAAGTGCTACTGATTCAGGCCAATGAAACCCCAAAATTGCCCCAGCAATCACAGTACCAACAACTTTTCCTACGGTTGCAATGACAAAAAGAAGAATCAACCTGACCCATGTCATTATTTGTCCAGGTTCAAAGTCACTCCACTTGGATTCAGCCCCCATCCAAAAGAAGAAGATGGGATAGAAAACGGTACTAAGCAGGTAGTTAATTTTTCCAATAGCCCATCTCGATACTCGACCTTCTCGAGGTAAAAACGTTCCCGCTAAGAAAGCACTGAGAATCGGATTGTAACCGAGTATAGTAGGGCAGCTGCAAAGGAAGGCCATGAAAGCAACTGCAAGAACCAGGTGAGGACCTTTCATAGGTTTACCCTCGGGGTTTTCATTATTAACCCAGTTCATAAATACAGGTGAAACCTTCGCTGCAACTATCATCTGTATCAATAACACAAAACCTAATTGAAAACCTCGTGTCGTGGAGAGGCGTACCTCTTGACATTTGCAAAAGAGATAACCAATACAGATAATGAGAGTGGATATAAAATCAGAATGCATCCCAGCAGCAATAACGAGTCGACCTATATCCGACTTGCCTATTTTAAGACGGGTGATCAAACGGGTTAGCACAGGAGAAGCTGTGCTAGAGAGGACAGTTGAGAGGGAGAGGATGAAACTGATCTCTTTTGTCTTTGAAAAACTGATAAATGGGGTTATGGAACAGGCTAAGACCAGTGTCGAAATCATCCCGGCGTAAGCTACTTTAGCATCACGTGTAGGTGCTTTGAAGAGTATGTATGGATCCATCTCCAATCCCAGCGAGAACATATAGCATATCATACCAAAGTCAACGATATAACGCAGCGTCTTAAGCGTTGATAAATCGAGTTGTTTCCTTATGAAGTTCCCAACAACCAAACCTACCTGCATGTTCAAAGAACATTTCAAATCATAAGCATTTCAACCTTAGACCAAGAGGGCAAGCACCCTGTTCCCAGTGTCATTAGAATGACTTGAAAAGAAGAAATCACTCATGAATACACTAATGACCATCATATGACATATAACCTATCATCCTCTCAAGGACCCAAAAACAAATAATAATAATAATCATCATAAGGCAAAATATACATAATAGTCCCTCATCTTTTTAGTTATTCTCATTTTCGTCTCGGTCCTACGAAATTCTCAATTTGACCCTAAACACATTCACCGACACACGAGATCCAACTTATTCATCCTCAAAACTCCATTCGTCCATGAACAAAATCCATTTCTTTAAGGAGCAAACCACATGTCCAACCATGTTGATAAGCTAATAATTGAGTAAGACATAAGTTGTTTTTGTGAGGGACCTAATTGAAAGAACTTAAGAGTTCTGAGAGGTTGATAGCGAAACTAAGAATTGCCTAAAAAGATCAATTGCCATTTGATACATTTATTCTAATAACAATGGAAGATTTTCTTCCATTTTTTCCCATTCCCTTCAACTCACTACTCTGTGCTCTGGAATGTGAATTATTGAAACACTCAAAATCCAAAAATCATATTATTCTACCAGAAAACAGAGCCATAATCTCAAGAACCAGATTATTCTACCAAAAACCAGAGCCATAATCTCAAGAACCAGATTATTCTACCAAAAACCAGAGCCATAATCTCAAGAATCAGATTATTCTACCAAAAGGCAGAACCAAAATCTCAAGCATCAGATTGTTATACCAAAAAGCGGACCCAAAATCTCAAGAATCAGATTGTTCTACCAAAAAGCGGACCAAAATCTCAAGAATCAGATTGTTATACCAAAAAGCAGAGCCCAAACTCAAGAATCGATATGAAATTTTCAGAGAAGAGAATAAAAAAGCGACTTACGATCGTATCAGAGCTAATACGAGGTTGAGAAAAAGGCCTCAAAAGGTAATGCACGCCATTGCAAAGACCCATCATGATAAAAAAGCCCAAAATAGACCGGGTCGCCCTCCCGAAAATTTCACTGAGGCGAATCCTGCATGTATTACCAGCTAACAATCGCGATGGCTCACGAACCCTAGTCCTCGCCATTGCGTTTCTTCTTCTTCTTCTTCTTCTTCTTCCTCTTCTTCCTCACTGAATTCCCAATCACCATAAAAATCCCTTTTCTGCTCTACAAGAAGATGAAGAACAAATAATAATAATAATAATAACTATCCTTGTTTTTTCCCCGCCTCTCTGCGATGAAGTTTTTGTTGATCCTACTTTTTTCCTTGGAAATGATGAACGATTGCACCATTGACATTGTTGATCCAACACGGTTGCTCGAGTGGCTGGGATTTTCGGCTTAAATTTAGCAGAAAATGAAGCAGCCGTCTCCGGAGGAACAGCCATGCAACGGATCGGATCAGACGACAATTTTATTATCAGTTATCAGTTTCTTCTTTTCCTTTTTATATATATATATATAATATTTTGCACATGGCAAAACTTTTCATTGGGACATAATTTAATGTTATCAAAATAATAATAATAATATATTTTTCAATACATTAAACTAAAAGAAAAAACTATTAAACTTTTTTATTTCTTAAAAAATACATTTATTATTTAAATTATTACTGAGATTGATAATATTTAACGTTTATAACTGATGTTAATGATTCATTATGATTTATAATTGTTTGATATTTAAGTTTTACGAGATTTTAGTTATCGATGTTAAAGTTTGTGGAGGGCTGAAGCTAGAAATCTCAAATTGAGAGTGGAAACTTAATGTTGTGGATAAAATTTATTCAGTAGGATCAAACCCGAAACAATAGAAAACTACTAGGTTCAAAACTAGAGTCATATAGAACCCGAGGCAAGGTCGAACCTGACTGAGTTAAAAGGTTTGAAAGGGTACCTTGACCTAAACTAAGGTGGGTAGAGCATATGTGTGCATGCCACAATTTAACAAAGCTCGGGTGAAGCTTGATTCAACCTTCTCCTAGCTCTATTTGAAAGAAACGAAGGAAACCCTGGTTTCCTTCGTATAAATATAGTATGAAAACGACATTAATGCTAATTCAAACCTCGTTCTTTAAACTTAAAACATGCTACAATACTATAACTTAGCAGTGTTTGTGACGAACACTACATCGACATATAATTACTAGTCCGATGACTAATGTGTAAAAAATTTTAAAACGTATGTGATATTATTTATTGGAGTAATTGATTCGAATGATATATATAATTTTAATATTTTATGATAAGTAAATAATATATTGGTAAATAATAGGAAATGCCCTTTTTTTTTTTATTGATTATTATTATTATTATTATTTATAAAAAGATAAATTCCAAGATCGTTTTTGTCTATAACAAAATAACGGCTAATGGCATTGCGCGAAAACCAGGACCGTGGGAGCATACGTGTAGCCGAAAATGGAGGGAAAGGAAGAACGGTATAAAATGGCGTTGAGTTCAGCCATTTTTTTTTCGGTGGAGGCCTCGGAGATCAGACCGGACATCAATTCTTTAACAAATTTCCGGAGGCCACTTGAATCCCACCGTAGGTCCTCCTTCCCAAGCACCGTTGGTGAGAATTTCATTTCCATTTTTTTTTTTTTCCAAATTTTCAATCGATTTCAGATTGATTTTTTGGGCTGAGGATTTCACCACCGGAGTTTGTGGACGGAGGTATCTGTTTGTTTTTAGGGGCGTCGTTGGGGATTTCTTCTAATTTTTAGTGTCGAGAGATTAATAAGAATGGTTTCGGGGCAAGTGATGTTGCCTGTTTGTGAAACTTTGTGTTTCTTTTGCCCTGCTTTGCGTGCGAGGTCGAGGCATCCCATCAAGCGCTATAAGAAGCTTCTCGCCGATATCTTTCCTCGTTCTCAGGTTCTCTCTCTTTCTCAGTCTACTACTCTTTTCTAAAAATTGCAATATTTTTTGGTCTGAGTTGAATCCATGCTTATCTTAGTCTAGATTTGGTCAGGTTGTTGTATTGATCTTCTGGCCCTTGCATCTTAAGTTTTGTTCCATGAACCGGTGGCTGGTTGATCTGATTGGGACCGGATTGGCTAGGGGGGTAGAGTCAGAAATTTGTATGGGAGAGACGAAAAATCTACATTCTAAACTTTTTGCACGCATAAACTTTCAAATTTGACAATTTAGACGAGAGATTAGAGAGAACTACAATATCTACGCTACAATCTGTTAAGGTTAAGACATATGAGCTCGACCAGAGGTTAAAAGATTCCATGAAATGTTAGAATGCCACAGATCCATGTTAAAGCTTCTTCAGGAGGTTTCATCTCTCTCATTTTGAAAACGTTCGTGTATCCCAGAAAATCTTCAAGAGAGCATTCCAGAATCGTTTCTTTGAAATATCATTTTATGATATAAAATTGTACAAAGGTTTAACATAATTCTCATTGGTCCATCATCTAAGTACAAATTATTACAGCTTTATTTTGCATCGTTCTCTACAATGGCTTTTGTTGTGGTCAACCTTATAAACATCACAAAGCTTAACATTCTCTCCTTTTCCCTTTTCCAATGAATTTAAACGTGTTCCAGACTCTTTGATTGGTAAAGGTGGTTCCTACTTCATTAAAGTTCCATTCAGATTATTAGTTTTTCCCCCTTTCTTTTCTTCGACGATGATTTGAATTGTCTGACCACCTTTACTATTTGCTAATTTAGCTTCTTTAAAAGCCCTTCTGTGTAGTTATAGTTTATAGTTTGTATTGGTACCAAATGAACACACCAAACAAAGATGGACATTATTGCAGACGACAACAGTAAGAGACATGAGAGTTGAAAAGATAAGTTATTCCCTCCTCCGGTGGTTTAATCTTTCAAACCATTATTCCTAAAAGGTCTCAGAACACTGTACTATTTAATATGGTATGTCTAAGAGGAATATTACTAAATTATTAACAATAATGTTTATTAATGTACATGGTATTACAACTTACATAGGCATTTTTACTACTTTGAAGCTAACTCTATCCTGCTTATTTTTCTTTGTTCACAGTTTAATTTTTGTTATTTCCCTTGTAGCTTATAATGCGTGTGACTATTTCTTGTGCCTGAAAGGCCTACAAGTTAAATATTCTATTTAAGCGTCTGAGAATTCTATTCCGAAATTGATCGTTCTCTTTTGTGTTATGGCAGGATGAAGAACCCAATGACAGACAGATTAATAAATTATGTGAATATGTGTCCAAAAATCCTTTTCGTATTCCCAAGGTGTCACTTAGCTGAATTTTACTTCCAATAATATCTTTAAACCGTGCTTTTGGATTATTCTGAAAGTGAATTATTTACTTTTTTTTTTTTTTTTTTTTTTTTTTTTTTTTTTTTTTTTTTTTTTTTTTTTTTTTTTTTTTTTTTTTTTTTTTT